GAATTCTTAGAGCACAATTTTCATTAAAACATCCAAAAACCATTAAAACTATATAGAACATATACAGTTTGCTGACATATGTAATTCATTCAGTCATTTTCCTTTGGCTTATAGCCTCTGTTTCAAAGGTTGCCACAGTGGAAAGAACTTAAAACTATCAAAGCATTATGTTTTACACAGTGGATGACCTTCCAGCTGCAACCCAGTGCTGGGAAACACCCATACACACTCATTCAATATGGCCAATTTAGTTTATTCACTTCAACTACACAGTCTTTGGTCTGTGAGGGAAACCGGAGCATCCAGAGGAAACCCGTGCAAATACTTTCAATTCACGAAAGCCAGAAACACCAATGATTTTAACAGAAGCCTAAATGTTTTTAGTATGGGGTACAGGGATTCTTCTCCATGTGATCATGACCCAAAAGAACCAGGCGTTTTGAATAGCTCATCCATGATCATGATTTCTGCAGTAGTCCTGTAGGATGTAATGAAGATGACAACTTCCATGATTCCACACTCAGTCACGGCATCATCAAACTTTGTTCTTGTTTGTTGTTAATATGCACCCTCTAGTGGTGAAAACAACAGTATGTGCCTGTCACATGTTGCACTTGGATGTTGTTGCTCTTTAGTTAGTTGATTGCTTCAGTTTCTTCTCATTTGGAAACTTCTTTGAATACAAGTGTCTACGATAGGTTTAAATGTAATCACGGTATGTACAAAACACAAAACAACAATACTAACATCAGCCAAATCTGAAAATAATATCAATAAAGTTAAACTTGTGTACTTTTCATGGGAGATGTAGAGAAAATAGCTGTGTTGGAAGTGTCGTTTTCTGAAATTCTGGATTGCGATGGCGTTGATTGGTAGGTTTTCAGGCACCGAAGATATTTTGAGAACGCGCTTGCTAAGTATTTCCTAAACTTTTCTCCAACGAAAGCGTAAATAAATGGATTTACGCAGCAGTGTGTGAGCGCGATTGTCTCTGTCACATCCATGGCCATATTGATAATCTTATAAGGCTCACAGCTTGTCAACATGTCAAATTCGTGCAAGGTTTTCAGGAACACCACCACATTGTAGGGCACCCAGAAGACCACAAACATGATAACAATGCCCAAGATGAGCTTTATGGCCCGATTTTTCTTAGAGTTTTTTGTCTTCTTTACAACCATCAGTACCCTCAGGTAGCAGTAGGCTATAATGGGCAAAGAGATGAACAGTCCAACTGCATTTTCACCAAAGTTACGGAAAAGCTTCCACTTTCTGGCCGACTCATCAGGATAGTGTCTCTGACAACTGTTGGATTCGCTATCCTTGACCACCTCTGCGAAAATGACCTCTGGAAGGGCTGCGCCAATGGAAACCATCCAAATAATGACACTTGCCACAATGCCGTAGCGCAGCATCTTTGCTCCTAGCACTGCGACGGCGTGTACGATGACGAGATAGCGATCCACGCTCATGAGAGTCACAAAAAAGATCCCGCTGTAAAATCCCACCTGGTACGCACCCGCCATAGCTTTACACATTGCATCAGTTTTCAGATAGTGACCTTGAGCATAGAGAGCCCAGAAGGGCAGCGAGAGAACCATTAGTAGATCGGACATGGCCAGATTCAGCAGGCAGAGGTTTGTCATATTTTTCACATGCATGCTTTTCAGGAGTACCCATAAGACGATGATGTTGCCAACAAGGCCGAGCACAAAAACTATGTAGAAAATGGCAGCCTTGATGTGTGGATTTAGGGATCCCTCTTCTGTATTACACATGGTCACTTCATAATAGTAATCAGTTAAGGGTTCCATACTGTAAGAAACAGAAAATGTATATTAGTGACATACTTTTAAACAAAATAAATTGTATGACATCCTTATAATTGATCACACAGGTTTTATTGTTGACTATAAGTAGGCCCACACGAAATCTGAGCGCGCTGAATTCCTCAGATTTTCTGCAGATTTTTAGCACCTCATTAATTCTGTTTATTTACTTGAGTAAATGTGTGTACATCTATATTTATTCGTTTTTTAAATGAATTACAGTAATATTAATGAGTAATGTGAAAATGTTCATCTGATTTATGTACAATGCAGTTTGTACAGTAATATTTAATATTATTAATAGTCTTTCAGTAGAGATATTATATGAGAGACTTGCTTTGTTTACCAAATAATGTTAATTTAATTGGATTTGGATTTTAAACATGAAATAAAAGTTAAAAATATGTATTTATTTTATTTCACATATTAAGGTTATAATTATGATACTCCTAAAATAATTTAGCAGAAATAACAAAATTCTCTGCAGAAATAGCAAAAAACATCCGCAGATTCCATCTGGCCCTAACTATGATAGATAGATTGCATTATACTGTTGCAAAAACAGTAGGGTTGAATATTATTATTATTATTATTATTATTATTATTATTATTATTATTATTAATTATGTTGAAAATTCTTTGAATTGTTTAATTTTAACATAATGTAATATCAGAGGTGGGAAGTTACAAAGTACAAATACTTCATTACTGTACTTAAGTAGATTTTTCTGGTATCAGTACTCCTCTAATATTTTTCTGACATTGTTTTTCTCTATTTTTCTCCTTACATTTTTTACACAAATATCTGTAATTTTTCCTCCTTACATTTTTAAATCGGGATCGGTACATTCTTTTTCATGTGCTTAGTGGCGCGATCTATATTATTTCTTGTCATTGCAGAAATTGTACTCCTGTTTGATTGTCAGTCAGCCTATTTTTCATTGCGCGTTTTTTTTTTATTTTTTTTTTACCTCTGATCACGCACTGTAGGCGTGTTTATTAAAGCTTACCATAGGAACGGCTAACACGAATGATACAGAGTCCGCGATGTAAACATGAATGTTTTCGGGCTCTATTTTAACAATCTAGGTGCAAAGTCTAAAGCGCAGGGCGCGAAAGCATTAAGGGCATGTCCCAATCCACTTTTGCTATTTAAAAGATGGAAAAATACGCTCTGTGCCGCAGTGCCTAGTCTAACAGGGTTGTGATTATTCTCTTAATGAGTTATAGGTGTGTTTTGAGAATAAACCAATCAGATTCTCATCTACCATTCCCCTTTAGGATCAGTTGAGTCGCACCAGGGCGCATTTGCTTTTTACATGGCGGACTTTGTAAGTGGAAAAACTGAACACTTTTCTAGCGAGAAAACCGTTAAACAGAGCATCTGCAGTGCGAGGATAAAGAAAGAGCCTCCTCCAATCTGCCTTTACTTTCACTTTCTCTCTTCTGTGGATTAGGAAACATGTTTTATGCACACACATCCATCAGCCTACATAAATAATTTTGCTTGTTAAGAGCAAAGATTAGTTTCAAAACTATTTCTAAATTCAGTTCTAATTTCCAGCAAATGAATAAATGAACAATAATAATGAAGTGTGGTAAAAAAAAAATTATATCCAAGGCCACATGCTGTGCCCCATATGGTCCAAAACCTGACAGGTGGACAAATCTAAGCTTGTTTTTAATAAAACAAATATAAATATGCATATAATAAATAATACTACAAACAATAATAATAATAATAATAATAATAACATTAAACCAAAGCAAATTGTCATGAATCAAGACGGCATGAAGGCAGTGGATTTTATATTTATGCAGAAAATAGTTTTTTTTAAATATTTAAATCCTTTAATTCTTTTTCATTTGTAAAGATATTTGTGTATTTTTGTACATCCTCTGTGTTTTTAGCAATGTGTAAGTGAGGCGCACAACTGACGTGCTCTGCACTGGACTTTTAGCTGGTCTATTATAGTTCTTCAAAATTGTAATACACCAACAATGCGCCTTAACACACCTCTTTTCTAGACCGAAACAGCCATGAGTCAAAAGTATTTGTACTGTGCGATTTTTAAATAAAATTTTAATTAATTGATAACCTTATATGTTATATAAAATATTACACAATTCTACAAAACAAAACAAAAACAAATAGGGAAATCATATGTGCTGTTTGAAGATAATAAAGCAGCTTTAGCATAATTCAAACATTTATTTATAGTAAAATACATTCAGTTTTTTATTTCATGAAAAGAAAAAAGTATGTTTTGACAAAATTAAGTGTTAAATTTAGTGAAGTTTATTCATAAACTAATTTCGAGAGCATCACGTGATTATGATTGAACACGGCTGGTTATGCGTTAGCATGCATGATCCACCAATTAGGCCATTCCTAACCCACTATAAAGAGCCAGGGTTTTTTCACTACAGTCATCTTCGATTTGAAGAATCCCCCTTTCCACCCCTACCTCTTCACGTTTTCTATTCATAGGGCTGCACGGTGGCCCAGTGGTTAGCACTGTTGCCTCACAGCAAGAACGGCACAGGTTCAATATATATATTTATATATATTTATATATATATATATATATATATATATTTATTTATTTATATATATATATATATGCATGCATGTCTGTGTTATTTATGTAAAATTTGGCCCGGGATAACGTTTTTTTTTTTTTTTTTTTTTTTTTTTTTTTTTTTTTTTGCATCTGGCCCTCAGCCCAATAAGTTTGGACACCCCCGATTTAACCCAAATTTGCCTTGAAACAACCCAGCAGTTTTAGAGCGCTATGCGTTTCAGAAAACTAAGAGTAATTTAGTTTTAGGTACATGTTATACATAAATTCTGCGTCATAATTTGTTGAGTACACTCTAAGATTAAGTATTTTTAAATTCAAATATAGGTGAATTTAACCACTGGATTATTTTTTAACATTTTAACTTAATATTTTTGACCCAAATGTTGGGTTTGTCCACATTACGCAAATTACATTTAGAATACGAATCTATTACAAATATAGATTAATCTAACCACTAATTTATTTAGAAATTTGTAAACATTTTTAACCCAGATAAACATTGGGTTTGTCCATATTTAACTGACATTTGAGTTGAAACCACTGGCATTAAATAAATTCCTCTAATATTTCAATATAAAATATAAGAGTACAAACAGTTTTATTCACTGCTAAATCAAAGCTCAAAGCAGCCACATTCAGACCTCTTACTTTCAAGGAGGTCGTAGTAATGCTGAAAAACCACAAGGCTCAGAAACATCCCACCGCAATCCCACTATCATTCAATCGGTGTCTGTGATCTCTTATACTGTTACAATTACAGTACTTGTACAGTACAATTAAAAAGGAAGTTCAAGGGACTAACAAATCTCATCTTACATGCGATTATAACCATTTAATGTAATATATTGAGCAGTTCAAACAACACGTCCTGCTTTATTGATAAATCATAAACAATCTGAATTTTAAAAAAGAATCTGTTTACCTGGTCGTATGCGCTTGGGTCATGATAATTGCTGCCACTCTGGTTGTTGAGATCCTCAGACTTTGTTCATAGAGTACATTTCACCCCCTTTCTGTACATTTGCCCTCAGCAAATTTCCTGTAAAATGAAGCATGTTCATGTGTGAGTGTGCTTTTCTGCATAACAGTATCTTGCAATACGAAGCGAAGATCTGAACACATTTCCTGTCAGTGCACTGAGGTTAGCGAGTTTGGATGCTTAAAAGAAATTCCAGCGGAATAGATTAAACAATAAATCTTAGTCATTTGAGTCTATGATGGCTACTGAATGAACGCTAATATCTCCCCCCACCCACTATTTATAGATAGTGTTTTAAAAACAGTGCCACCCCACACTGATAAATATGAATGTCTGGCATGCTGAAAGAGCAATATCTGTGCTCCTTTTCACCTTTAGAGATGAGTCAGTTTACAGCAATATAAGAAATAAAGTGAAACAGATGGGTTTTTTTTTTTTTTTTTAGAAAATTAAGTATGGCTGTCATTCAGGAATTTGCCTCTTTTCAGTACTTGCCTTGATTTTTTTAAATGCATTCATTTGAATGTAAACTTTTAGGCATTTTGTGCTCAAAGTGCAGCGTACTTTGAAAATATTTTCTTACGGTATGTTAGAATCACTGATAGCATATTAAAAAATTTCAGATATTAATTAGGAATTAGTCATTTCAAAATCTGTTCATTTTCAAACAGGCTGCTTAAAACATGTTACTTTCAAAGTGTTGTGTGCGTTCAAATTTTGTTCAGTTAGGTTACTCAATATTGGTGTCTTCCTTCTTAACATGACATTCTCAATATTCCTTTAGTGTCTTTAGTTTCTTTAGTTCCAAGTTATTTGATGCAGTGCACTTATGGCCCATTTCCACTGAGTAGTACGGTACGGGTCGATACGTGTAACCTTTATCAAGCTTGCGTTTCCACTGCCAAACGGGTGTGGTGTACGAACAAAAATTTCAGACGACATAATTTTTACTCGAGGAAATGTCACCGTAAAGCCGTACGTGTCATTCACATATCATATGAGCAGCACTTCTCACAAAACAGAGGCTTTAAACACATAAATACTTGTGTATAAATGTTCATTACTTTTCTATGAACATGATTTGATTATAACTGCGGATCAACGAAATAGCCTACTGTAACGTCTGCAATTACATGAAATAAATAAAGGCAACAAATATAAACACATATAGACCCTTACAGTTTCTGATATGTTATCAATTACAGAAACACAAAACATACATTTAGTCCTTATTTGGGTTCAAAAACAACATAGAATATAGCCCACAGTCAGTGCAAACCTCTCATCTGTCTTTAATCTTCAGCAGCACATGTAACCTCTGTTAGAAAGTATTTCCGTCGTACTGAGTTCATAATAGTCCAAAAGGCGGTGATAATAGTTAAAAATGGCAGTTTGTTAATGTTTTTGGTTGCAGAAGCATCATTTGCTGCTATTTTTCTGGCTTCTCCTTTGTTTTTTCAAGCTTCTCTCTCGCTTTTGTCTGCTTCTGAAAGGATCGGATATCATAGCGCTTCAATGATCACGCACACATTATTAATATGAGCTCAAGTTCGTTTTTTCAAATGTAGACGCGCAGCAAGCTCTATGGAGAAAGTGAACCGCTTGCCCTTTTTATACGGGCTCGTAAAACAACAACAGGACACAGCTAATTTTGTTCTTGTTTGTTTTGTGGCTGTACATCAACACGACGACAAGGTTTGTTTGAGCTTGGGTCGACCATGGCTTGTTATTATGTGTATATATTATTACGGTGTAATGTCTCAGCTGTGTTTTTAAAAGTGGCACTTCCTTTGTATTCATTCTCCTGCGCATCTGGCTCTGCCTTATGGTACCCTTTGGGCCTGTTGGTACCCTTTGTAAAGGGTGACCAAAAAGTGGGACAGTATGGTTCACTTTTAGGTACCCTTTGACAGTGGAAATGACCATAAAAGCATACCAAACCGAACCATAGCGTACCGTACCACTCGGAAACGGACCAATATAGGTCAAGTATTGATCTCAGATATATTACATTCAGCCCTGAATGCCAAATTCTATCAGAAAGCAGTCCACTTTTATAATGTCCGAACAGTTAGTCTTGCATTGCTTTACCTTTTAGTTTGAATGTAGAAGGAAGCAATGCTGCATTGAATGTTTAAGGCATAGCTGCCTCTAGGGAGGAAAGTTAGGACAAGTCTAAGGGCTCCCAGAGTTAATATAGGGGGCCCAATCAAACCCCACCACTCCCAAACACACTCTTCATTTTCATCCACGACACACTCCAACCCCCACCCTCTCATTCTTTTCTTTTGTCAGTGACACCCTGCCCATTCTTCACTTTCGTCCATGACACAACCTACCTCCCACTTCACTTTCCTCTGCGACACCGACAAAAATATTGTCATAGGGCCAGTACCGGGTAGCGGCACCGCTGGTTTAAGAACCACACAAGATGCTGTATGATTAACAGGTAAAGCAACAATCATGTTTCTTGTTTCTACATTTATTGTAATTTTAATTGTTGCAAAAATCCCCACAAAATTAAAATGTTAGAACTCTTGCATTTTTAACTACAATAAGTAGTTTTGAAGAACTAAACACATGATAAAATCCCCTAAATGTTATGTCAGCATCTGTTTTATCATTTTTTCATACATAGACATTTGTATACTCACTTACATATTACACTTGATCTTCCATAATAGATGTGTGAGAGCCAATCAGGCAATCTTTTGTATAAAAGATGACCAAACAGGAGTCTAAATTTGGACTGTCAATGAAAATCTATTTAAGATCTAGAAATATTCAAACGAGAACAAACTTCACCAATCGATGAAGTGAAGCAAAAAAAAACTCGAGAGAAACCAGACTCTTTTTGGGTATGACCATTTCTCCCTTGGCCAAACTTCTTGTGCAGAGCTGCAGTGTTGGCGCTGGAGGCTGGAGATGGTCCCAAAAATAGAGTAGTCATCAAAAAGACAGACTTTATATGTGCTGTCAATCGTTCTTGTTCTTGACTGGTCAATTTTTGCACTGTTAGATGTCTAGGTTTACACTGATAGCCTAAATAACCATACAATCATAATACTAAGAATCCACAAATTCTTCAACTCATAAGAAGAAAAAATCTGATATTTGTTTAAAAGCATCAACTAAAAGAAAATCGGTTTTAAACACTGCATAGAATTTTGTAGATGCTGTTTTAATACCTGCATTTGTCAAGATTAAACAGGATGTTGAATGCAATTGTCACTCCACAAAACTTTGTTTGTATTGAACAGGGTTACACCCTAATGGAGATTTTCCACTGCACAGTATGGCTTAGTTCATCTCTGTTTGTTTTTGCAGTATTGCTGAGTTTACAGACATAGTGTTGCACTGCCTCTACTGCTATGGCAATCTGAATCGCCTCATTCAGCAATACATTTACATTTTACATTTACATTTAGTCATTTAGCAGACGCTTTTATCCAAAGCGACTTACAAATGAGGACAAGGAAGCAATTTACACAACTAAGAGCAACAATGAATAAGTGCTAAAAATAGCACTTGAATAGTGGTTGACTTAATTTTTAAGAGCATTAATTTCCTCTGGTACCACGCTTTTTAAATGTATGTGTATTTTTGGCTTGAGTTGTACATACCAACTTTAAAGATATATGAAACTGTCAAGTGCCTCAGGTCTTTGCTTATTGCCTCACATAGGCAAATTATAAATACTTGGACACTCATTTCACATGAAAAGGAACATCTGCACCTCATCTACTCGCTAATTTATTTTAGTGTCTCATGTAGCAAATTCAATGATCCAGGGCATGATTCTGTCTGGCCAAACAGTATCTGCAATGTTTACTTTACATTTTGATAACGGTATGGCTTGATTGGATCATCAGCCAAGGTGGTAATAAAAAAAGTACAATGAGCTGTAGACTCCCCCTAAAAGATAGATGTACTGAACCGAACAGTAGCTACCATTCAGTGGAGAAGCGCCTTATGGCCGGGAAACACGATCGGCTGTTGGGCTATAAATGGTGTCTAAATGGTAGCTACCAAACTGAACCAGCTGTCGGTGCCCACCTCCAGCTGTCAGGGGATCATCAGCTTCCTGACAGACAGGCAGCAGGTAGAAAAGCTTGGAAACTTCATATCAAACTCCCGCACCAAAAGCATTGGTGCCCCACAGGGATGCGTCCTCTCATCACAGCTCTTCTCCCTGTACACCAACAATTGTACTGCAGAAGACCCCTCTGTCAAGCTCCTGACATTTGCAGATGACACAAAAGTCATTGGACTCATCCAGGATGGTGACAAGTCTGCTTATAGACAGGAAGTGGAGTAGCTGACTGTCTGGTGCAGTCTTAACAACGTGGAGCTGAACAAACTGAAAACAGTGAAGATGGTTGCAGACTTTAGGAACCCCCCCCCCTGCTCTCCTGCCACTCACATCATGGTGTGGAAGCAGTGTCATTCAGGTTCCTGGGCACCACCATCTCTCATAACCTGAAGTGAACATTCACATTGAATCCTTAGTGAAAAAGTCCCAGCAAAGATTGTACTTTCTTCAACAGCTGAGGAAATTCAACCAGCCACAGGAGCTTCTGACACAGTTTTTCACAGCTTTTTTGGTTTGAATCAGCCACCAAATCAGATATAAGGCTGCAGCAGACTCCCAGGACAGCTGAGAGGATTATTGCTGTGCACCTGCCCAACCACCAGGACTTGTGCATCTCCAGAAGGAGGAAACGGGCAGGTAACATCATTTAAGTCCACTCGCACACAGGCCAGAAACTGTTCAGACTTCTCAGGCAGACGCTACAGATCTTTATGCACACCAACATCAAGGCAAAAAAACAGTTTTTCCTCAGGCCATCTCCAACTTAAACCGTTAGCTTATCAGGTGCTATCTGTTTTCATGTGGTCATAAACAAACATGACCCTTAATGTTTATGGTCTTTGTAACCAATAAAGGCATATAATTGTAAATACAGTGCATCCGTAAAGTATTTATAGCGCTTCACTTTTCCCACTTTTTTTATGTCACAGCCTTATTCTAAAATGGATTAGATTAATTTTTTCCTCAAAAATACA